ATCGCCACGTGACTGAGATCCACTTGGCCTGTCGGTCTAGGGTAACCTAGTCTGGTCTTGCGCTGTGACAGTTAGGTTAACATTACTAAGTACCTTAAGTCTATAACTGGTTTAATTAAAGCTTATGATAAGAAGGGTTTCTCTTAATTAATATTAAAAATATAATATAAGCTTAACTATATTTTTTATTAGCTATTTAAATCTTTTACATATATAAAAGAGACTTATAAGAAGACTTTTAGTTCTATTAATATTAATAAGATTAATATAAGATATAATTCTTAGGAAGTTATTATCTTTTTATTAGTATATCTTAATATAAAAAGCTAATTCCTTTTCTATTCCAGGTATTACTTAATATTTTATTATATATATAATATTTTAAAATACCTCCCTATATTATATTATAAGTATTAAACCTTGATTAATGCAATACATATTACTTAATTATAATCTTTTGAGTTTTAAAATACTTATTAGAAGAATTATATCTTTTTCCTCATGGTATTAAATATTAAATATATAGCCTACAAGATTACAATTATAGCTTTTAATTATTAGATTAAGATTACCTTTAATAAAAATTAAGCTAATACCTCTAAGATTTTTATTTATATCTTTGAGTTTAACTTTATGTTACGAAAAAATCTTTTTAGTACTTTTATTTTTAATTCTATAATTATATGCTATAATTAATAAGTAATCTAACTAGATAAATAATCTAACTAAAAATCTTAACCTTCTAGTTTTAATTAATAATAAAAACACTATAACCTATTAGATTAATTAAAACTAATTATTATGTTCTTCCCTAATAACTATAATTATTTCTTAATAAATCCTTATATTATATCTACTCTTGTTATGTATATTATAATACTAAGTACCTAGTTCCTTGGCTACTATATCTTAGTAATTTACCTACTACCTATACATGTTACGATCCCAGCGGTTACGTCACGTGTACCCCATAATTTTCCCCACACAACCAACCAACCAGGGAAGGACCGACAATTGCAGGACCGACAGCGTTCCAGGACCGCGTCGTTCCAGGACCGACGACGACCTCATGTCGTGTCGTTCCCATACAACCATCATTAGTATATAGAACACATTCATTTGCACTTTCATAGATTCTAGCTCA